GGGCTAAAGAATTGAAATGACATTTTACCAGAGAAGATGTATGGATGACAAATAAATACATGTAAAGATGTTCATCATCATTTGTTTTTAGGGAAATGCAAAATTTAATAAAAATGAGATAGTATTAACTACCCACCAGAATAGCTGAAATCAAAAAGTTTCAGTGTATGAGACGTTGGGGAGGCTATGGAACAACTTGAACGTTCATGAATCATTTATAGGTACACAATTATTTGTACATTCTGAAAAACAATTCAGCATCTCATAAAGTTTATATATAAATACATATATTTATATGATCATATATGTATATGATCTAGCCATCCCTCTCCTGGTTATTCACCCAAGAGAAAGTCTCTTACATAAGTTGGAAGGTAATTGAGTAAGAAGGACTGGATACATGTTTGGTGAAAGACCATCCTCATAGGAATAGAGAAACTGAGCCAGGACAGTGTATTGGATTTATTGGACATTATTGGCCATTGCAAAATGTCAGGATTGCTCTTGGGGGAAGCTTGCTAAAAAAATAAAAATTCTGTTTCAGTAGTTTTGAGCTGGGACTCAGGAATGTACATGTTAATATTGGTGGCCTTGAAAAACATCCTCTAAAAAGAAGCATTAGCTTAAGAAAAGTAAATCAACCAGTAAGGAGACTATGGGAAGTAGCCACATGGAATGTAGAAAGGATCTTAACTGGGACTAGCTGTGGAAATATAAAGTAAGGACTAATCTTTGAAATTACTGAAAAGGTATAACTAGTAGAAATTAATGACTAATATAGAAATAAGTATTGCTGAAGATGATCCAGACATTTTCGCTCTGAGTTGCTGCATAGTGACAGTACCACACAGTTTGAAAAGCTGGACAGAACACATTTATTAAAAACACTTGAGATCAGGCTGTGACTTCTAACCTTGAAAGACTTTCATATGGAAATAGGTGACAGTGCTGATTCAGGAGGTGGGTAGAGATGGATTTTAGAGACGGGGGCATAAAGATGATAGTTGACGCTGTGGAGAAATGCATTATATCACCAGTAGGGAAAAAAATGCTTGCAAGAGAGTGGTTTAAGGTCCCTTAGGATCAACTTACCATATTTTAAATGAGCCTGGAACGATGAGTCAACAAAGGAAACTGAACAGATCATTCAAGAAAGAGGAGAATGGAGCATAAAAAGAAGAGTGCGCTTCACGGTTTACAGTGAACTGCCATGAGGGTTTCACAGATAGGCATTGTAATTTTGTGCAAACTAGGGAAAAGTGGTTATGTGATTTCGCCACGGTCAAGTGAATAATTTGTATGATCTGCTCAGATGTCAAGTAACTCTCCTGAAGGTTCAATATTCTTTTTTGGGGGGAATGTTGAACACATATTAATGTACTAATTCCAGAGTATAGCACTATTGCCCTATGAAATAATTAAAGCTTATCTATTTTTTAAAAATAACCGGGAGTGCCTGGGTGGCTCAGTCAGTTGAGCAACCGACTCTTGGTTTCTGCTAGGATCATGACCTCATTGGTCATGGGATCAAGCTGCACAGGGCTCCCCACTCACTGGGGAGTCTGCTTGAGAGATTCTTTCCCTCTGCCCCCGCTTCAAATAAATAATCTCTAAAAAATAAAAATAACCAGACTTATTGTGGTGATAATTTTGCAATGTATATAAATGTTGAATCCTTATACTGTACACATGAAACTGATAATATTGTATGTCAATTATACCTCAATCATAAAAAAGAAATCAAATGGTATCAAATAGGAACCAATGTAGCTGATGAAAACAAATGAAGCTAGTGGGTGTAAAACAATAGAGAGTGATAGAGTCCAGAAAAAAACAGGATTCTTTTTTGCCATATACATGACTACTACAATATAATCACCTGTGTATGTCATTGGCTACTTCTGTATTGCAGGTGGGATTAGGCATAGCTTTGAATTTTTTCAGTGAAAAAGTGAGATTCTAAATAGAATGATACTTTGCTTAATTTGTTGAGATCTCCAGTTAAAAAGGGTGGTTTTAAATAAACATATTCCTAACTATTCCTCTGCCATTAATATTTAGGAATCTAGGAAATTCATCCCCAGGAGAAGTAATTTTACTGGTTTTATACTTGCAGATAATTCTGTGTGATACTTTGAAGAATACTTGTATGAGAATATGAACTAGAAAAATGCCAGTAAGGCAAGAAAACATTTCATTTTTAAGATGACATTTCTCTCTTTTAGTATCAAACAAATGAAATGATCTACCTTAGGTTCAGAGCTTATGCTTTTTTTTTTTTACTATATTATTAAACTATTTTAAATAAATTGTTTTGCCTACCCTTAGGATAACATTTAGACAGCCTTTTTGTTTCCTTTATTGCAGTGTGAGCTGAGTCAGAAAAGGAAAAAGGTTTTCAATACTTTGAGTCAATGGGCCAGAGACATGGTCACATCCTTCTCATGACTTTAACTTCCCTAATATCATCTCAGTTGCAACAACAGCAGCATGCAAATGTATTGGAATTGAGTGATTACATTAATCTCTTCAAGCTCATTTATTTTGACTGTAAAACATCAGGGTCTACATTGGTCTACATTTACTAAGTAGTGCTGGTCAAGAGAATTTGTAGGTCATATGGTTATAGCAATGGACTATTTAGCTATTTTCTAATAAAGTGCAATTGCGTGCAAAGGATCTTGGTGATTCAGAGAGTTTCCAAAGAGTCAAATCAATTTTTCAATATAGACACAAGTGTTTCTATAAGATTTTGTGTGTTCATTCAGCTACCCCCCAAGAAAATTCTGGGTTGTAAAATTGCAAGAATATAGTGTATTATCTTTAATGTCCTTGGTGATAAATCAACCCAAATGAGATTTGAATAAATGGAGTGGAATCTCTGTGCATGCATGCAACGGGAAGAAAATGATGGCAATTATAAGAACTGTAGATTTCATTGGGTGTGAATAGATATTCAGCTACATAGTAATTAGGTGACTGTTATGGAGCCTGGAGCTGTAGTAGCAGGAATTCAAAGAAGGCAAGCTGTTTTGCTCTAAAAATAAATCAAAAGAATTTATTGAAACTATCAATAAAGAAATAGTTTAGTTAAGCTGAATGGAAGTAAATTTGCATTTTTAAATATTTAAATTCACATTGATGGATCTACCCATGCTGTATGAAAATTATGTAAATAACATGTTTCCCCATTTTGCTTTAACTATACTGCCTTGTCTGAGTACTGTCTAGCTAAATTTTTCATCAGTATTTTTTTGGTAACTTTCATTCTCATTTTAACACTTCATTGTGAACATCAATTAACACTTCTCTTTGTGCCTTTTCAGTATAAGCTGACTTTTTCTTTTGTTTTCCTAATTCATTACCAAAATATTTTTCAACCTTTTATTCTTGTATATTCTTTTTTTTTAAATATTTCTTGTCTACTTACCTTCAGAGTGCTTTCAATATGACCAATAGATTCGAAGAGTATTTAAAAACATCCAGTAAAGTTTAACAGTGAAGATAGTTACATCAGCAATTGTAGACATGAATGAGAGTGGATAGATATCCAAAGCACTCGGGGAACTTGGAGTTAAGGAAGAAGGGGAAGAAGGACAGAAGCATGCAGGTGATGGTGGGTTGGTAGATGGTGTGGAGTAAGGGGAAAAGCTTCTGAATTTGTTAGAAAACTCAGGCTCTGTTCCATTTGTGTTACCAGTAAGCAGTCTGTTCTAGGACAGGGCACCAGCCTTGTTTCTTAATTTCCTTTTCTGGTTAATGAAGAGGTCTGGCTTTAAGGTCTCTTCCAGCTCTAGAACTTCATGATTAATTGCAAAGACTTAACTTTGTAAATATAACATAGTCTTATTAGGCAATTGTTTTGCATGGGGTTTAGCTGGTTTTCTTTAATTGCTGACACTCATAACAGGGGTTTTTTCGGGATAATTTAGTAACCATTAGTGAGACGTGCCATTGTTGACTGAACATCGAGAATGTGCCAGGAAAGGATTACCATGAGTTACAGCGATGGTGAAGTCAGCATTACATCCAAGCGTCTCGTTAAATGGGGATGGCATCAACTATTATTCAAAATAATGCGTTGAGTTAAAGGGCTCCTTCCTAACATTACAAAGTGTGAATGTGTTAACAATATGAGTCAATGCTTGAGTTACTTCTCTACTCTTTCACTGAGTAGATTGTTAGACCACATTCATGTTAAGCATAGTATAATACAGAAAATCAATTACAGCATCCTCCAGGAGAGTACAGGGTGAAGCTATTAAACATTTCATCAGGAAATTGCAAAGTACTACTGTAAAGTTCTTTATTGTTGGGAGCCGTCATTTCTATAGTACTTACTATTTACCACCAGCTTGTAAAAATCTACCATGGCAAGTTTCACAGCAGCCTCATTAACACTGAGCATTGCTGAAACCATTTGGTGGAGGAGACAGTTTAGGGGGTGATAATAAGGAATAAAAACCAAATATTTTCATGGGAAGACTGCCTGTGTCATCTCTACTGTTAAAATCTACTCATGATGCTAAGAAGAAAAAAAATTTTCTGCCTCTATTTTTAAGATGCATCTTCCTTTAGACTTTCATTCTGCTTAAAATATAGAATATACATAGTCTCATCACATTTTCTTTTAAGGTGCATTTGGAATTACTTGAAAAGCGCAGTAGGTAGATGGTGTTCAAATTATTATCTCTAGTGAAATTCATCTTCAAAGACAGAATTTGGAACTAAAAGAGAGGGGGCAGAGGAGACAGCTGGTGTTTATAGTACCCACAGAACCTTAGCATTAACTTTTAGAACAGGAGGACTCAAGGCCTTGGCAGCATCCCAAAACTCAACTATTTTCATTGATTGGTATGAATCATTTTCTCTCTCTGTTACCTGTATTTTTTCTACCAGGCACACCACTTATTTGCCAACAAATCTGCTGTTGACCTTTCCATAGCTCTGTGCTGGGATGCCTACCACGGTGTTTCTAATCCTTGTCAATTTCTTTCCAGACAGAGCTTTTTGTACATGCCTTCAAGGATCAGCTGGTCAGAAGTGCTCTTTTAGCCCTCTACACTGCCAGACCAGGAGGTGTCCTGAAGAAACCACCGTCTCCTAAGAACAGCACAGAGGAGAGCTGTCCCCAGGACCCACCCCCGCCGATGAAAAGGCAGGACTCCATACCACATCATTCAGACTATGATGAGGAAGAGTGGGTAAGTCTCATGCACATCGCTTGCCTCCTCATGTTTAGTCCTGAAAAGGAAAGCAAGAAAGATGAGACATCTCTGCTTTTCATCAAAACAAGTTGGGAAGTAGTCATAATACAGACTGGATAAATAAGTCACTTTTTTCCTTGGGGGCAAATTATAAATGTGAGTTTTATTCCTGATCACATTCATTTAGCATAAAAATTTATATATATACACGTATATATATATATATATATATATATTTGGATACACACACACACACACACACATATATAGCTCCAAAATGTCGTAAAAGCAAAAATGCCACAATTACAGGATTCTATAATACTTTTCTGTATTTGTTGCCAAGGTAATATAAACCATTAAAATTGTGTTTTTTAGAAAAAGAGTCAAAAATCACTCATAATCCACTACTTGTTGCAAATATTTTCTTGTTGCAATCTAGTGTTTCAGTTCTAGACATACTTCAGGAAGTATTAGCATTTCAATGGCAGTGGACATAGAGATCTCTTAAATCCTTCTTGTTCATGATTCTATTATTTAAAAGAAGATGTTGTTCCAGGTGCTCTAAAATTGGCAAAAGGATGGCTACATAAAAGGATCTGAAAAAACAGCTAGTAAAGGCAAAACACACACACACACACACACACCCCAAAAAGAAGCCAGCATGGTAATAACTCTAGTTGGACAGAATAAGATAAGAGAAACATGAAGGTTCTGGGCAAAGGAGAACAGTGTTATTCCTGAATAAACACATATTGATTATCCAGGAACCATCCAAAGTATGTGCACATCACACACAGAGAAGGAAACTCTTTACTGTATCACGAGTTTAACCAAGAAAATCGTATTCTAGCCATATAGATGGTAAATAGTTAATGATTACTTTTTTCTGCCACCCTAGAATTTAAGAGCATTCGGAGAGTAAATTATTTGAAAGGCCCAGCTCTCTCAAAAAAATTTGCTATCTGAAGGGCTGTGAAGTGATGCCTGCTCTTTGTTTTGATAAAATTTCTATCACAGGAAAGACAGAGCTGGGTTCCAAGAGGTAAATGCTGAATAAGTATTTGTTGCTGCTGATTAAGACTACGTTTCTCCCACTGAAGCGTTTTCAAAAGAGCAAATCTAGTATTTCTCCTTTTTACCTTCACCTTCTTCTTCAATTTATTCACAGCTCCAAGGCGTATGTACCTCTTAACCTCTCTGAAGTTCAATTTTCTCAACTGTAAAGTGAAAATAACAGCCCCTGTTCTGTTTAACTCTTCAAGTGGTCATGAGATAAATGACTTACCTGTGCAATAAGGGTCCCATTACCTGGAAAGGCCTAGGCAGATGCTTTGTATTACTTTAGTATTATTGCTATATGTTGTCTTTTTTAAGATGCAAACATTAAATAGTCTTATGATAGGGATTAATACTATCCCTTGAGGTAAATGGGGAAACTGGATCTAGCATAAAATGTGTATTGGGAATTTTAAAGAGTTTGAGTAGGTATAGAAGACAACTTGTATTTCATTTAATTAAACATACAATGTTAACCCTGTGACAAATAATTTCCATTTTTACATTAAATGAAGTGAGAATTTTGAAATTGGGTATCTTTTGTTTTGATCATTTTCACCTGGCGGTCATGTAAATCCTCCCCCACACCTCGCTGCTCTCCTCCCCTCTCCTCTCCTCCCCTCTCCTCCCCTCCCTCCTTATTTCCTTTTCTTTAGATAATTTTTCAGACCTTCTATATTGTAGGTGCTCCAAATGGGAAGGTAAGTGACACTAGCTCCTTAGGTTTTAGAAGTCAGAGTCTCATAGTGGATAAAACATGTTAGCAAATAGTTACACAATGTTGTGACCAAGGTTGGAGAGGGCCAGGTGGTAGAAAATAGGCTCTGCTAATAGGACTTCCACTCAAGATTGTATGTACAGACCCTCTATGAGGGGAAGAGAAGGAAGAGCATGAGAGATGGGCGGTGGGCTGACGAGGTTTGTGTGGTGAGCCATTCTGTGTTCCTGTGCACCTGCTCTGCCTGGTTCACTGCGCCCCATGCTCGAGACAGAAACACCCAGGGATGCGAGGGACTCCACGGCCTGTTCAGGGCTCTAGAAAGAGGTTGTACGTGGGATAAAGCTGGAAGGAGGCTGGCGGTCATGTGGATTCCCAGAAGTAAAATTCTTAAGACGTAGAAGGGAATAGAAAGTTAACCCTTCAAGAAAGAGAATGACTTTCAGACAGGCACACAGCAGCTGACATAGAAGGAGAGAGAGTGTGTGTGTGTGTGTGTGTGATCTTGATCATTAGTTGTTTCTTTATTTTGCTTCAAAGATGGTGAAAATTGAGCATGTTTTTACTCCCAAAACTATTTGACAAGCAGATAGGTGATGACTGGTAGAGTGAGGCCCTTTCTCCGGAGAGGAGAGGATTCTAGCACACAGGTAGAGCAGTCCTGGGCAAAGTGGGCTTATCTGCTGAGACTGCAGGGAGACTGTAAAGATCAGCTTCACTTTTGGGAGGCTGGGTGAGGCTGGATGGCTTCTTTTATGTTTGTTTAAATATTTTCGCAGTTGTACTGAGATACAACTGACATATAACACTGTATTCATTTAAGGTATACATGATAATGATTTGGGAAATCATTACCACAATAAATTTAATTAACACACATCACCTCACATGGTTGAATTATTTTTCTATGAGAACGTTTATCATCTACTCTCTTCACAACTTTAAATATACAATCCAGTGTTGTGGTGACTATAGTCACCACACTGTACATTACCTCCCCATGACTTATTATCTTATAACTGCAAGTTCATACCTTTTGACCCCCTTCACCTATTTATCCCAATTCCTACCCTCAGCTCTGACAACCATCAGTGTGTTCTCTCTTTCTATGAGTTTTTCTTTGTTTTTAGGTTCCATATATAAATGAGGTCATACAGTATTTGTCTTTCCCCATCTGACTTATGTTCACTGAGCCTAATGCCTTCAAGGTCCATCCATGTTGTTGCAAATGGCAGGATTTCTTTCTTTTTATGGCTGAATGATATTCCACATATATACCACATTTTCTTTGTCCATTCATCTGTCAATAGATACTCTGGTTGCTTCCATATCTTGGTTATTGTAAATAATGCTGCAATGAATATGAGGGTGCAGTTACCTCCTTGAGATCGTGATTTCATCTCCTTCAGGCATATACATACTTAAAAGTGGAATTGCTGGATCATATGGCTGTTCTATTTTTAGTTTTTTGAGGAACCTCCACACTGTTTTTCAGTGTGTTTCTGCACCAATTTACATTCCCACAACAGTACATAGGATTCTCTTTTTTCCACATCCACACCAGCATTTGTTATCTCTTATCTTTTTGATGATAACCATTCTAACAGGTATGAGGTGATATCTCATTGTACTTTGGATTTGTATTTCCCTGATGATGAGTGATGTTGAGCGCTTTGCCATGTACCTGTTGGCTATTTGTGTGTCTTCTTTGGAAAGGTGTCTATTCACTTCCTCTGGCCACTTTTTTAAAAATTTTTTTATTGTTATGTTAATCACCATACATTACATCATTAGTTTTTGATGTAGTGTTCCATGATTCATTGTTTGTGCATAACACCCAGTGCTCCACGCAGAATGTGCCCTCTTTAATACCCATCACCGGGCTAACCCATCCCCCCTCTCCCCTCTAGAACCCTGTTTATTTTTCAGAGTCCATCGTCTCTCATGGTTCGTCTCCCCCTCCGATTTACTCCCCTTCATTTTTCCCCTCCTGCTATCTTCTTCTTCTTTTTTTTTTCTTAACATATATTGCGTTATTTGTTTCAGAGGTACAGATCTGTGATTCAACAGTCCTGCACAATTCACAGCGCTCACCATAGCACATACCCTCCCCAATGTCTATCACCCAGCCACCCCATCCCCCTCTGGCCACTTTTTAAATTTTTTTTCCATTGAGTTGTATGAGTTCTTTATGTAGTTTGGATATTAACCTGAGTGCTTTATTTTATCCTTAAAATAGAGTTATGTGCAAAGAGAAGGGGAAGAGCAGAATAGGCTGAGGAGAGGGTAAAAGTTTCAAATAGGCACCGATGAAAATAGGTAGAGGCCCTTACTAGCAACATTTGGAAAAATTAGGAAGAATTCTGGTCCTCGTGAAGGACCAGTCAAGGTTGCAGTAGGAGTCTGTGTGGTTATTAGTTTACCCTTTATTATTCTTTTGGGAATACTTTCCTCATCTTGACACTAGGAAAAAGTCATACTGATTTGTTCTTCCAATTGATGCGGAAGGGCCCTGTGAGTTTCTCAGCTGTTTTGGTTTCCTTCACAGGCAAAAAGGTAGGATAATAATAAAGATCTGCATCTCCTTCTTTATCTTCTTTCATATTATTTCTGAATTTCCTCCAGAACCTGCTGTTGCTAGAAGGTATGAATACTTTGTCTAAATTTACCACAATTACAAGGAAAATCCTTCCCACTCAGAAAAGTTGCTTCTAACTCTCTCCTCCTAATATAATTTGACTCTGTGTACAAATGTAACTAACTTTGATTGTTACATAACATTCTAATTGATTTTCCATAGCAGCCACTTTCCACTAAAAAGATACCTTGGTTAAAAAATAGAAATCCCTTACTTAAAAAAAAAATTACCAAAGTCATAACCATTTAACATTATTTTCAAAGCTTTATCTAACTTTGAAAAGTTGAGTAAATCCAAAGAAAATGTAGCTAATTGAAAATGCCTTTAGAGACAGTGCTATTAAATGAATTGGAAACATAACTTTGTGTACCACTTTTCTTAGTTAATTAGGTGTTAGAAAAGTTTCTGCACTGATTACATGTTTAATCAACTTCCTGAAATAATTCAGTGTTTTAAGTTAATTTAGTTAGGTTTCTGTGGTATATGAAAGTATTCTGTGATCATTTAAGTTGGTTTAGATTTGCACATAAGATTACAGTAGCTCCATTTTAAAAAAACATTATTTGTTTTATTTAATGTCTTACA